ATACCATAATGTGCCATATAATATCCTATACACACAATTCAACACATGAAAAGCAAGAAAGGGGTGAGGAACTGGCATGGCTCCAGTGTTGGGAGTAGGTGAGTCCTGCTGATGTTCCTAAAAGGAGAGGGTCTTAGTAACTGCCCAGGTTTTGCTGGGATTAACACTGTGTGAAAGCCTCTTCACCAACCCTAATGCAGTACTTTTTATGGTAGTTCTAGTTCTGAAAATTTTATGTGACTACAGTTGTTTTTGGAAAAAAAATAATGTGATCTTATTTCAAAAATTGCTTTATGTTCCTTTGCTAATTTCCTGTCAACTGATAATGACTGCTCAAATTTTAGTGTACTCAGCTCTTAAGAAGTGAATGACTTCTAAGTCAGGTATGGTGGTATATACCTGTAATCCCAGTGCTCAGGAGGCTGAGGAAGGAGGATTGTGTGTTTGAGGCTAGCCTGTACTATGAGTATGTTTGAGGCCAGCTGGGGCTACAGAGTGAGACTCTGTCTCAAAAATAAAAAATAAATACAAAACGAGTAAGAAATAACTGATAGAATATTTCAATCTCTGCTTTAATGAAGATGTTTTAGTCGTAGAAGGATTCATTTTATTCCACTATTTATTGAGTTTCCTCTACATGAACATTACTTAATGATATTCTCTGAGGCCTACAAAGATGAGCTCCCACTCTAAAGGAGCTTAGGAAAATTCGGTCTAAGGAAATATGAAACAGGTGGTCATTTTCTGACATGACTCATCACCTAGTATTTGCCGAGTAAGTTATATTTTCTGTATCAGAATTTCTGTATCATAATATGACATCAGGTGAGACAGCTGGCCAGCCATTCCAGTTTGCCCAGGATCCAGGGTTTTTCCAGCACAGGGCATTGGCACTTGGGTCTTTCAGGGCTCAAACCAGGACAGTCTTATGCAAACTGGGATGGTTGTTTATGCTACACTGTCATCTGCAAGTCCCCAAACAGTACAAAGGAGAGCACTGAATTTAAATGGCAGAGGACAGGTAGCTCACCCCTCTAGAGACGTGGCAAGAAAGCAACAACCAGCACTTTTTGACATTTTATGACCTTGTTGAATGTTCCTAACCCCACCCCCAGACAGCCCTGCACAGCAGGCATTCCTCATGCATTCATTTCAGTTGAGAAAAAAAGATGCCCCAAGAGTCCCAAGCCATATGGCTGTCAAGCATGGATGTTGGCACACATTTTTGGTCTTTGTTGGCATCGCATTGCCTCCCTGAAATCATTGCAGGTCAAGTTGAGGCCCGCTAGCTTGCCTCACCAGCCCACTCTTGACCTCCATGCCTCCGATTGGCTAGCTTGAGGCAATGATAACCACTGTTGGATAAGAAGCCAGTGGTTGGCAGTGTGATTACTGCAGGGCCACACATGATAAATCAACCACTGGTAACAATCTACACACCCAACAGTAGGAACTGGTCATGTCATTCATAACTGTTCCTGTCAGGGGAGTATCAGGCAGTCACAAAAAAGGGTCCTTGCTCAGAGTTCTTAGATCTCATTTTTTAAATCATTGGGGCTTTTTGTAAGCAAGAAAAAGCATGGTCCCCTTTCACTACTGCCTTTGCCAGGGCAAGGGATTTCAGAGCAGGTAGTTTGGATACCTGCTCAGCCATGGCTCTGGATCTCTTTCTGAGGTATATTGGGAGACTCTTCTCCTGTGATGAAGCTTTCCCTGGCCCATGATGGATGATTAGAGAATGTTAATGGGCAGAGAAGAAAGGTCTCAATCTAGAATGAGGAGATGTGGGTGTGTGGACCAGCTGTGTTCAGCTCTCCTGGACCAATGAAGGGTTCAGGAGAGCTGATTCCCCGAATATCAGACTCTGTGCTGAGAGTGGGGAATGCAGGGACAGAGGAGAGGGTCTCAGGCCTGTCCCTGGGAGCTTTTGTTGTGCCAATGCTGTGACTGCAGTGAGGGAATAGGGGCAGATCTTTTTGGAATCTATCTAGCATCTATCTATCTATCGATCTATCTATCCATCCATCCATCCATGTTTCTGAACATATTTAATATACACTTATATGTTTCCAAGTATATGTAATTTAAGTGTACACACATATATCTCCAAATATATTTGAAAATATACTTGCAACTGCATTTGAAAAGGTGGGTGGAGGTGTGGAGGATTTCAAATGCCACGCTGGAGATTTTGGACTTCAGCATGTGAGAGACAAGGCAGCCATTTGGGGATTTAAGCAAAGATGTAATAGGCAAAAAGCACTTTCTTGAGAGAGTAAGATGCCATCTACAAAAAGGAAAAAGTTGTAGAAGAGAAGAAAGAGTAGATGTTGGGAGGGAAAATTTAATCAGTATCTGTTGTATACCCATTTTATTTCCTTAGAAAATTGTGGTGGTGTGCCACCCATGTGACAGGTTCTGTGCTAGGAGCTGGGGATACAGAGGTGAAGACAAGAGGCCCATGTTCCAGTGTGGGAGATGGACAGTAGCCCTGTGAAGTTTGTGATCTGTGCCCTAAGGAAACAGGAGAAGGGTGGCCTCGGGTAGAGCCAAGGCTTGTGGTGGGAGATGGGGCTAGCTGGGGAGAGCAGAGCCTGTGTGTTTTCCCAAGAGGGGAACAGCATGACCAGGTACTCTCTGGCCCCAGAGAAGTTTTGAAGATGGGGGAGAAGTCAGCAATGTGGCAAAGAAGAGGAAGGATCCAGAAGTTGCCAAGTCCTATTGGCTACCATAAAGATTGTAGGGCTTGTCCTGAGTGCAGTCAGAAGAAGGTGGTACTTTGGCTGGATGGAATTAGTGCCTGGGGGCTGCTGGTGGGGGTCAGAGGTCAGAAGGGGGGAGACTGGTTAAAAGGTTTTGGTGGCCATCCATGTATGCTGGGCTGGAACTCAGGAGTGGTGGCATTCAGGAATGAAGAAGGAAGACCATCTCAAGGGGTGCAGGCAGAGTAAGATGGGGAATCTAACTGACAGGTGCATGGGTATGGAGGGTGAGACCACCCAAACTTGGTGCCACATTTTCTAGCCTTAGTGACAGACAGCATAGACCTCATTCTCCTCATTGTAAATACATAACAAGTATTATTTCCTTTATGCCTTTCCCTTCATTTTCAGCTGTGACCCAGACCTTCAGGGGTCTTTTAGAATCTAGGTAACTAGTGCTGGTTAAGTGTTTTGTGTGTGTGTGGTGTGTGTATGCAGCTTACAAAAAGGGAGCTCACATATTGTCTTCATGTCTCAGATGAGGAATCTGGGGCCCAGCAAAGTTAATAACTTTCCAGGGTTACACGGCTTCCCTGTGGCAAGATCTTGATTAAAGCTCAGACCAGTCTCAGTCAAAGCAATCACTCTTAAACCACACTGCAGCCTCCCCAGACAGCCTTCAGCATACCAGAAGAGTCTCCAGTCTCTCCCACTGCTCCAAGTCATCACCCTAGGGCTGAGCAGCTGTTGGCTTGGCTTTCTTGGAAGCTTCAGTGCTTTCCTGCACCCTGAATCTAGGGGGTCTGGCGTCTGCCATCTAGTGGCCGCAACCTTCCTTTTTCTTCTGAGCATTTAACAGAATGGAAAACGGAGTTCCCACATAGAAGACAGGCCTGCATATTTATAGCATCACACCCTGTAAACAGGAAACGTCTCAGGCTTAGAGAAGGAGCCCAGCAACATAAACAGCATATTGCCAACAAGCTCCTGCACTCGTTCAACAAACACTTAAGCATTTAAATACATATGGATATCGATATACGTTTACCTGCACACACACTGCAGCGTCAGCTCCCTGAGGGAGGAATTTCTTTGTCTATACTACTGTATTACTCATGAATGAATCTCAAGAGTCCGGAATGGTGGCATTTGCATAGCAGACATGCAGCAAATATTTACTTATTCCAGTATATGCCAACACGTACTACATCTTGACCATATACCAGACTCTGGTGTGTATATTTCCTTATTAGTCAACACAATGACTGGAGAGATAAGGACTGTCAGAATGCCCATTCCTCCCAGTTGGAGACTCAGGCACCAAGAGCATCAAGAGGTTTGCTAGATTTAGGGAAAACTGGTTTGTGACTAAAGTTTTTGGACTTTGGAGACCCAGAATTTAATTACTGGTCATAGTGCCTCATGTGTCAAGTTTTGTGTGTAGCTTTGCCACCATTTAGACAAGAGGTAGAAGTATCTCCTCTTGAGGGAACCATCACGCATTTCCTACCCATATTTTGACTTTATGGGGTGGAAGCTTCCCTGTGCATAATGCTGTGATAAGGGAATCAGTGTCACTAGCTAACTCTGTGGTTGTGTGACTCGCACAGTGTCCCTGAACTCTAGGCTCCTCATCATTTTAAAGAGGAGACTGAGTCAGGACCCCTGCCTTCTCTTTCAACTCCAACATTCTACTGTTGGTGTGACTCCCGGGGAACCGGATGTGAGTGGAAGAGAGAGAACCATGTGTTACTAGGCAACCAGCACCCGCCTCACCCATGTTGCCATGGTGATGATGAAAGTTGGGCTGATGGAATTACCAGCTCCTGCTAATTGCACATGAGCGCTCAAGGTCTCTGTCTCTTTCTTGCTTGCTCACTGGCTCTGACTTTCTCATCTTCCAGGAACTGTGGAGAAATCTCCTCTCCTCTAAGTGCAGCCTGCCAGAGGCAGCCCTAGTACAATGGGAAGCGACTGGAAATGGAGCGTGGCTGTGCCTCTGAGTAGCTGTGTGACCTTGGGCAGATCACCCAGCTTCTCTGGGCCTCCATTTCCACATTTGGAAAATGAAGGTGTTGGAGTAGCAGTCCCTATCTAAGGTTCTTCCTGGCTCTCAAATCCTTTGATGCCTAGGGAGCATGTCAGGGGAACAGACCACACTGTTACTAGGCAACCAGCAGGCACCCTGCCCAAGTTGCCTTGGTGACTGGATGCTGGAGGGGAGGGGAGTAACTGCTGCAGCTAATTGCTTAATTATTTATGAGTGCCTCAAGTCCTTTTTGTTGTTTTCATTGCTAGGGGCTGTGGGGTCACCTTGTCCTCCTCTCTCCTGGCACCCCAAGTCGTCTGCATTGTGTGTCATGCAGTGGGAGAGCGCCTTGGCCTGGACCTCAAGCCACCCACGTTCTAATCCCGCCTCTATCAGGTCCTAGAGCTGTGGCCTCAGGTAAGTCACCTCACCTCTCTGGGCCTCAGTTTCCTCATTTGTAAAGTCATCTGTTTGCTTAGATGATCTCCAAGTTCCCTTTCTACTCAGAAATTCTAATTCCTTCCCTCTGGTTGCAAAGTGGGGAAGATGAGGGACATTTTCTTGCTTTGCTTTTCTTCTAAGAATGATTCCGAAGAGCAAGGAGAATGATGAAGTTTCTTACACAGTCCAAACAGGAAGGGAATTAAAGTTGTCCCATAGTCCCTTCTTGCTTCTCCACAGTGTGACTTCTTTTATTAACCCTAAGGTCACTTAAATTTTATTTATTTGTATGCCACCAACTGCTCAAATAGGTAAGAGAGCTTCACTGTATAAGATGCATATATGCAATTAGGTCATTAAAATAATAGAAATATGGCTAAGTATAAACATAGTGTGTTTCTTCAGTGGTGAAAATCGATGCTGTGATTGAGCAATAAATATAATTTTGAGCATCCTGGAAGGCAAAGCAAAAAGTGAAGGAGTTACATGTTCAATAAAAAAGACTGCAGGACTGTTCTTAGTTCTACATTCTGAAAGGAGTGTATCATGTGATTCATACTTCTTTTTATAGACATTACAGATATTTAACATAGCCCTTTCTTGTTGGATGTACTGTTAAAGGGTGGATATAAGGAAGACTCAAACTTTGGCAGTTTGAGTAATTCTAACCATTAGAAAGCAGAACTTGCTGTCTACAAATGCCTAGACCTTTATACAGATAAATGTCATTTAGGAAATACAAACTTTCACAATCAACCATCGTTTTACAAGTCAGTTACATCTAAATTCATGTGACTACTTTGTAAAACAATTTGGCAGTCTGAATCAGATTTTGTAAATGTAGCTATCAACTGTCCTTCTCCAAACTTATTCTGAGATAAGCTTGTACAGATGAGGAAAGATAAATATAAAAATGCATGTGGAAGCATTATTTATTTAAAGAAAATGGCTAGAAACCACATAAATGGTGAGGGATAGTGAATTAAATTACATTACTTCTGAGCACTGAGCTATTCTGCAGTCCTTAAGCTGACATAAAGCTGTATGTTGATATGGGAAATCTTCAAAGGAACAGAGTTAAGTAAAATAAGAATGTGCAGCATTGATATTAAATGATGCTGTTTCTGTTATAAAGGATTTACACATCTAGATATATGCTTCTATGTACAGACTTGCATTTTTCTGGAAGGAAGCTGTTAACAGCAATTCCCTCTGGGTCAGAAGACTGATTAGTATTGGGAGGGAGGAAGAAGGGAGGGAGGGAGGAAGGGAGGGAGGGAGACCGGCCGCCTATTCATATCTTAGTTTGCCTATCTGGTCTTGCTAATTTTCCACTTAGAGAGGCTGGAGAGCTTGACAGTTGAAAACCTAGGCTCTGGAGTCTGAACACCTGTGTTCAAACCCCAGTTCTGCCATGTGACCATGGGGTTAACTTCTCTGCTCCTCATCTGTGAGGGTGAATAGCACCTTCCAGACTGGATTGTTGTAAGGGTTAGACGAGTTCATAAAATGCTCAGATAAGCCTGAACAATGTCATATGTGTACTTCACTGAAAAAGAAAAAAGATCAAAGGAGAGCTTAAACAACAAATTCATCTAACTAAATTGACCTCATGTCATAGTGTTGGAAGGACTTTATAATATACACACTGTTTCCAGCATCTTATCCTATGTGGAAGTTATGTTTGAAGTGGGGATCGTAAAGTGCCAGTCTTGCTTTTGCTGTTGTCATTTTATCTGTCCTTGGTTACCTTTGGGGGAGGGCACCTACCCAGGTTCATGACAGCCAGTCATGATGCTGTGAAGCCCCTGAATCCATCTTGGTTTCAGCTCGTTTATCGCCCATTCCAGTGAATGCTCATCTGTGAGCAGACAAACCCCACACATTCTGAGCTGTTAAAGGCCAGAGAGGGACTATGCAGAGATTCAAGCTTAAAGAGGGTGTCCATGATCCAGATGACTGAGATGTATGTGTTCACATGCCTCACAGCTCTGCTTCGATTTTGAAAAAGAGAGTAATAGAGACCTAAAGGGGGGCTGTACTGGGCTGGGCGGTGGCTCAGGAGCCTCCTGGCCAGAGACTTCCAGGACATTCATGGGTGGAGACTGTGCAAAACTGCCTGCATTTCTCCTCCTTCCTGTCCAGTGCCCTGGGGTAGATCTGGAGAGCTTTGTCTGACTCTGAGAAGCCTTTCTGAAAGTTAGCCACTCGGTGGCCAGGCTGGAGCTTCTCAGGTGGCCACATGGTGGCTTGAGAGAGGGGCTCAGGTCCCTTCAAATCTGCTGAGTTAGGCAACATGATCTCACCCTGAGGAATGCAACCTGCTACTGTCTTATGCCCTTGAGTCAGGTTCGCCTGTCCCACCCTCTGTCTGTCTGGCCCTTTTCTGCCCTCTTGGGCATCGGAGTCTCTTTATCCATTTGGCTACTGGTTCCCCTCTCCATCTAGCTGTCACATCCAACAGTGCTCCATCTGCCCTTCCATCCCTCCATCCCTCCATCCTTCCTTCCCTTCTCCAACCATCTGCCAGCCTTCTCACCCATCCTTACGACTACTGGTTTGTCTGTCTATCCCTCCTTTCCTTGGCCCCTATGAGTCTGAGGCTCTAGCCACTGGTCCATCCGTCCCTCCATTCTGCCCAAGCCTGCCGACCTCCTGCCTGGCCAGCCCCCTGACCGTTCTTCTGCGCCTCTCACCCCAGGGCCCGCTACTACCCTCCACCCTCCCCCCCCCGGCCGGTGCGTGGGTGCCCTGGGCGCAGGGTCGGTGCCTCTGCTGCCTTTGTTGCGCGGGCGGCGCGCGGCTGCAGCCCGGGAGGCGGCGGGGCGGGGCGGGGCGCGGGGCGCGGGGCGGGGCGGGGAGGGGCGGGCGGGGCCGGGGTGACTCAGCCGCCGCTCGCCCCGCGGTCCGCGCGTCCGCCGGCCCGGCAGGCGGGGCGGAGAAAATGGCGCTGCCCCGGCCGCCGCGCCCCCTGCCGGGGCCCGGGAGCCGCCGGGGCCCCGCGACGCCGCCGCCTCCGCTACCCCGAGCCGCCGCTCGGCCTGCAGCAGCTCTCGGCGCTGCGGCCGGAGCCGGGCGGGGTCCCGCTGCACTCGCCCTGGACCTTCTGGCTCGACAGGTGAGGGGCGCGGGGCCCGCGCGTCCGCCCCGGCCCTGCCGCCACCGCCACCGCCGAGCGCCCGCCGGGCCTGCGCCGCCGCTTTGTCCCCGCGCCGCCCCGGGGCCGGAGGCGCGACGGGAGCCGGAGCCCCAGCCCCGCGCGCAGTGCGCACTCCCCGGCCCGCCCGCCGCGCGTACTCGCCAGGCCGCGCGCGCTCCGGACTCGCGCCGGGCCGGGTCGGGGGCGAGGGTTTGGGCCGCGGCGCGAGGCGGCTGTGGGGCGGGGAGAGGAGAGCGCAGGCTCGGAAGTTTCCGCACACTTCCCCTTTTCTCCCCTTCCCACGGGAATGCCCCTGCCGGGCGTCGGGGGTAGTGGGATCCCGTGTGGCTGGATGGCCGTCCCGCGTGCCCCACGGGGCTCCTGGGTTGCTCAGCACACGACCGTCGCCGTTACTGCAGTGGGAAAAGTTGAGCAGCGCCGTGGGAGGTGTGCGGGGTGGCGATGGGACCGTACGGTCGCCTCCTCAAATTCCTCCTCACCTCGGGGCAGGTGTTTTTGAGCACCTACTGCGGAGGCCAGGCGCTGGGGATTCCGTGGGAAGAAGCAGAGCTCCTTGTCAGTAAAGGAGGGCTTACCTGCTGACCACCAAGTCTAAAAGAAACCGTTCCCCCATCCGTCTGTATTCCACTCCCTGCCTTGTTCTTCCTACTGCTCACCACCACCGTGTGCTAACATGAACTTGCTCATTTCCAGTCTGTCTCCCTGATGTCTACCAACATCTGCCCACAGCTTAGAATCACAGAGCAGGGGCTGGTTTTGGACACTTGCTAAATCTGTACCTAGATCTGTGCCTGGCAGGTAGTAGGAATACAGGAGATGTTTCAGGGCTGCATAGGTGCATGAATGCTCAGTCCCTTCTTAGTATGTCTTTGAGCCCAGTGATGACACACTGGTGGGCCCCAAAAGCTTATGGAGATTTTGATAAAACGGTGTCTACTATGGTTAGGAGACTAGTGTAGATGTATGCGACAGTTCGCAGAGAAATTTTCTTAGCAGACGCTCATCTACTTTTAAAAGACTTGTATGAAATGCATGTGATACTCATCTTTTAAGTGAAGGCATCTTCTCGTTGGAATTAACACCCATCTCTAAGAATTGACACTTAGAGCCAGTTTCTTTTCCCGGGACTCAAAGAAGTTGGGGGTGGGGGAGATTGAGTTTTGTTTTCAAAACATTTTCACTTTCGTTATGGGATTCTGAGAACATTTTACTATCATAACAGGAGCAGTTTGGGCAAGCTTTAGCAGAATGAAATAATGAGTCTTTGTTTTTAAAGATGTGCCCTAACTGTGCTGTTGTTACTCGTGGTGTACATTGTGGATACCCCTGGCTGGTGGAATCAGTATCAAGAGTTTCTGTTTAAACAAGACACAATTTAGTCTACATAGGAGTACATATTTTAGCAGTGATCTAAAATGTCAATATTATATAAGAAAACATACTTTAAAGAATCTCTAGTATCTTTTCGGATAAGAATATGTGAGATGGTGGTGTGGCTCAGTAGTAGAGTGCCTGCCTAGCGTTCACAGAACCCTGAGTTTGGTATCCAGCACTGTATAATATAGTAGTAAAGGCATGAACTTTCTTTCTATGGATTGGCACTTTTTTTTCTCTGGAAGTCAATAATCAAGTGAAATATGTTATTGCCACAGTGTCCAAATCTTTAACAGAAATTACTATATTCACTTAGAAATTATAATTAAACATTGTACATATGAATTCATTTTGATCAATCATCACATAATTTTTATTGAACTTTTTTTTTTTTTTACTTCGCTGGCAATCTATTATTCTTATATTGGCTGTCCCCCTCCCT